CAGATTTACTTATACTTTTTCTTCAACCCTGAAGATGGGGGCGATACGTTCCTCCGAAACGTCGGTTAACACCACATATACACGGTGCCAAATCCCAGAAGACTGCTTTCTTCATAGTCACCGCCGTGAAAGCCTCAAATCTTACAAGCTCTGACCTGTCCTTTTAGGCGCGTCCGGTTCCCTGTACCCGAGCTAAATTTATGACTGATCGTAAATGTCATAACTCCGGATTTCTTGTTTCTGCCAAAATCTAGGAATTTCAACATAAACACCGTATTTCAAGTCCCAGACAATGAAATACGATATTATAGATCACGACACATTTCAGTAATATCGAAACATAAGACTTTTGAAATTAAAATTACCGAGAATTAATTAGAAATAAATTTCATGGTCATGTATAATCATCCAAATAAATAAGGGCTCAGAATGATCAGCGTCAAATATCATTGAAAAGGCTATGGCTGATTCCTTATGCAAATCCTCTAATATCACGTCCTCCATTTCGACGGTTTAATAACGCATGCAGTTGAAAAGGTGAAGTTCTTAAATAAACAAAGAAGCCACTGCTTAAAACAGACATCGATGGAAAACAGTGTTCCATTTCAGAACATTGAAAGATGACAAGAATGTGCCAGCTTAAATAATGTATGTGTTAATTCAAAGATCTTATAACTAATCTAAAACTGTATTAATTTCAGGGAGATTCTATTATAAAAACTAATTACAAGTGACATCAACAATGCAGCGTTGGTCAGGGCGCGTTGCCGTGGTAACAGGAGCCAGTGCTGGGATAGGAGCAGCCATCGCTGAAGAACTTGTGAAGAAAGGACTCAAAGTGGTGGGACTGGCACGCAGAGTGGAGAGGGTTGAGGTGAGAGGAGCAGTACACTAACTCAAACTAAGATGTATACTTTTATACACTTACCATATTTACCAACACAACTGAATACGGAAACAAAAATAAAAGGAATATTTTTATAATATTTAATTGAAAAGTATTTCCTTGTATTTACAGTATTTTTATAAACAAAAATACTGTCTTATGGGTAACACCGTGTAGTTCGACCGGATAGTGAACGTCTATCAGGCTACACGTCGACATATCCCAGAGTAAGCACAGCATGAAGATCAGAAACAAGATATTTCATAATCAGTATTACTGCACTTTCAAAGTCTGTACATCATCTGGTGTTCTAAGGAACATGACGCTTGAAGTCAAGTAATTCTGGTAAGTTCCTTCTAACTGACCCAACAGAGTAGGTCCCCCAATAGCAACTGA